GGCTACAATAAATTTCTGATTCTCTGGGTAAGGATTGCACGGGGAAAACATAGCCGTCTTCCTCTCCCAGTCGAGGTAAGGTGATGCACTATTAGTGCATGGAAACGATGGGATTGAGAGCTTAATCCCTCGATTCACTTCAACGCCACAACCCCCTGCTTCTGGTGGTCTTCACTCTTCCTCCATGCTTGGGGTAATCATTCTCATAATCACTAAATGGAGGTCTGTACTACGGGATTACCTGACGACGTTGCTTCGTGTGTTGGAAACTCTGCATCTACTAATCTGGGGTCTTGAGAAAAGCTTGGTAAACATGATATGCTCTTGGACCCTCTCTGTTCGCAGCTCTAGTCTGAGCTGCTACAACTGCTGGATTCTATGGTGGATTACCTATTGGTTGTGTCTCCAACCTAGTGAGTAGGGTATCTAGGAGCTAATTCGTCTCAACCAGCTAGCCTTTAGTAGCATCTTACTAGGACTGAAGCAAGGCTCTCATCTGCACCATCTGCACGGTAAGCAGCTTTATAGCTTCTGCAAGATTCTGACTCTTCTCTCCCATGACTTGTTCTTTGATTCGGGTTTCTTCTTTAGATAGCGATTCTTCCTCTTCTCTGCGTTCTGCAATCGGATCTTTGGATCTCGTTCGAGAATCAACATGTCCTTTTGCCTTCTATCTCACCACTATGTTGAACTGGGATCTGATACCACCTGATACGAGCACGGATCATGTACCTGTAGTTCTCAAAGTCGCACAACTTCAAGAACGAAGAGAAAACATATTTTTAAGGTTTTTGTTTGTTTGGGATATGATGGAATTGAAAGTACAACCTCAATACGAAATCGGGAGAAGGCTTTATCAATATAATAGGTAGAATTTCGTCCACAATCAAGGGGAAAACTTGATTGATATAAAGAAAAGTTCAAGCCTAAAGCTCAAAACCAAGATAAAAGTTAATATTATGAAAAAACGAACTCTAAAACCCGAGTTTCAGCCTTTATATAGGTCTAAGCAATTAAGAATAATAAAGATAGCTTAAAAACACAAAATACCGTCACTCAGGTTCGATCCCCTGTCTGTCCTGACAAATCTCCGATCGAGGAATTTAAATCATCGCCCAGGGTCCTTTCAGACATATTCCCCGGCCTGACATCAAACTCCCTGGTCGGGGCTTTCCCTCCCCCCGAGCAGAGATTCCCATTCTCGCCCGAGGGGCCGCCTCTTGCTTGCACGGTCAGCTGGGGCCTCATCAAAAAGGGGTCCAGGAATCCTTAACTAAATATGGATCTTTGGATTTGAGTGGGCCCAGAAAATTCAGATCTAAGGGGTGGGCTTTAATGACTTTTTATTTTCCCTAGTTTTATTAATCAGCTCTTATCTTATTCGTTCTAACTTGGATTTCAATTTTTTTGCAAAAATGGAATGAGTTCGTTGTGCTATACAAAATGAAATTCATTTTCAATATATTTCGACAAAAAAATTTCATATCACTCGTTACCATCTTTGTTTTTAACTCAAATTCTGAATTTTTTTGCACATATGGAACACAATCTTTTTGTTCAGTTACAAAGGGGTTGATTATTTCTTCAACTCTTCTTCTTTCCTTGAATCTTCCATCTACATACTTTTTTCATCCAACAGATCGCGATGATCTGGAGATGTAGTGGTCTTCCTATGTGAATCAACTAGGATGCGATTCTTGGTTTTGAAGATGGAGATGCCTCACTTTGAGATCTGAGCCTGCTATTCATTTGGTTGAGGGTTCCGGTTCAGGTTCTACCATGGCTTTTTGGTTCGTCTGCAACCTTCATGTCTATGTTTTCTGGTCGACAGCTTCAAGCTTGCCTAGCAAAGTGGTTTGTGCGACAACGACAATGATCTCTTAGTGAGACTTCATTGTAGATAGGCGGGTTTGGAATGGAGTCCAGCGTGTATGTAACCTCCATATGTGGGCTTTCATGTATTGTTTCATAAGTTATGAGGGCTTTCATGTTTGGGCCTTTTTCCTTTCTTTATTTGTTTGATTGTCTTTTCTTCGGCCTCGATCTGTAACTTTGTAATTGTTTATAAGTTTGATGAATTGTGATACATCTTCTCTTTTGTAGGTGAGGTATCTTTGGTATCAACACAATGATTGTCTCATTCACCGCTTGAACTGGTGATGGTTCACTCCGACATGTCTGCATAAAATATTGGATTTAATCCATCCTTATCCGGTGCCTTGCGCGTCACCATTGCTTTAACGTGTGAACTTCATTCATGGTGAGTTGGGTATCGAGCGGTGCCCATAGGTCAGGAGCTCCTCAATGATGCTGGTATGGTACGTAGGGAATGGCCGACGTCTGTATATAGAGGTGACAATTGTCAATCAAATCCATCAATTTAATCCACAAATTCATTAAAAATATCCAACTAATCCAATCCATTCAAATCCAATCCATTTGATCAAAATCCAATTAGATTGGTGGATTCATGGATCGTTGGTAAATTATAATTTAGTATTTATAATTTTTATTTTTTACATTTTGATACCTAAATTTATTTTTTTAAGAAAATATTATTGGAAAATTACATTTTGATACATAAAAAGTTTCATTATAATATTTTAGTACCTAAACTTTTCACATTTTACATTTTTGTCCAAGATTAATGATGTCATTTGGATTTATGGATAATTCACCAATCCACTTGATCCAATCCATGATCCACCAATTCATTGAATCTAATCGATTTCATACATGGATCCATCAGACTAATTCACCTCTACATAAATTCAATTCATTTCCCACATCTATCCGTATATAATGCAGACGGTGCCACGTCATCAAAGTGGTGGCCCACACCCACAATACAATCGGCATTGGGAAGGCGGTTGAGATTTTTTTGTCAGCGGTTGAGTTGAGCCCTAGCACAAATATTACTTGCTTTCCACGTTTGGGAAAAATACTGAATCTTTCAATCAGAGAAGCGGAAACGAGAATGCCCCATCATGGTGGATATGGTAATTCTAGTTTCCGATTTGCTGCAAATTGGATCTTTTCACAAATCTTGTTGCCGTAAACTACGATTTTCCGATGGTTTCCTCAGGCGATAAGAGCCTCCCGGGAAAGAAGCACAAGGCCGCCGCCGCCAACGTTTGTTCCTTATTGTGACTCGGTTTCGTTGGCATTCCTTAGCCCATGGCGTCCGTCACTTGGTGTTTTTTCTTTCCCTCTCTCCTTGCAGGATAACGACGACGATGGATATTGCGGCAATGCAGCTGGTGAGCGAGGGGATGATGATTATGGAGACGGTATTCAGTTTTGCGAACTAGTTTCGAAGATTCTATGGGCTGATTTTGATTTGTGCAGCTGCCTGGTGACCTATTAGTTTGTGTTTCTGTTGGTGACGTTTGTGATAAAGCACCAAGGGGTGCTTTTGATCAAAGAAAGTAACGCAGCAAACCAAACAATCAAACGATATTTGACGGAAAGGTAAAATTCTCGCCACAGTCGAGGTGATTAATCGATTGATAAGAGAATTTGCTAAACGATTCTGGAATCCACTCAGAATAGCCTACAAGGGTCTAGTAATTAGCTAAGGAATCCACTCGAAGCTAAAGACAATGGATAAATTCTCGAGACACACTCAAGAACTCAAAACACTCACATAGGAGCAATTTTCATTCAACAATAATCTTCTCTACTTTACAACGAAAACTAGAAAGGTATTTAAAGGAAAATAAACCTAATACAAACCGGGACCGGTTACTATGACAACACCCCTTGTGTTGTTATTGTAACAACACTAGTCTCCAACCAATAGGAAGCTAGGATTGTGATGACTTTTTATTAGATGAGTTGACCTAGTGTAAAATCAAAGCAGGGGTATAATTGTCATTATGAAAAATATGTTTAAAAAATAAAAAAATAAAAAAATATTTTTTTATTTTCTGCCCAAAAATTTGGTCGCCGGAATTCTGCCACCGGTCGCCGGAAAGTGGTCGCCGGTCACCAGAATATGCTTTTTGTCGTCGGAATATGCTATTTGTCGCCGGAATATGCTTACCGGTGTCGGAATATGCTTACCGGCGTCGGAATCTAGTTATCGGGGTCGGAATATGCCTATCGGCGTCGGAATCTGCTCACTAACGGTCACCGGAGTTCGGTCAACGGTCAACGACCACCGGATGTATGGTCTGCATTGTGAGATTTATGGTTTGGTTTCTCATATTTTCGTATGCCTTTTGTGGTTTGCTTTATCGTGTTTGTGGTTTGCATTGAGAAATTTCTGGTTTGCTTTATCGTGTTTGTGGTTTGCACTGAGAAGTTTCTAGTTTGCTTTCAAAAAATTTATGGTTTGCATTGAGGGGTTTCTGGTTTGTTTTAATATATTTGTGGTCTGCATTAGGACGTTTATGGTTTGTTTTTTTGTGGTTTGATTTACTGTGTTTGTGGTTTGCATTAGGAGGTTTCTGGTGTGCTTCGCAAATGTTGTGGTTTGCTTTGTGAGGTTTGTGGTTTGTTTTAGGAGATTTGTGGTATGCATTCGGAGATTTCTGGTTTGCTTTATTGTGTTTCTGGTTTGCATTAAGAAGTTTATGGTGTGCTTTCGAAAATTTTATGGTTTGATTTGTGGGGTTTCTGGTTTGTTTTAATATATTTGTGGTCTGCATTAGGAGGTTTGTGGTTTGCTTTAGTTTGTGGTTTGCTTTATCGTGTTTGTAGTTTGTATTATGAGATTTCTGGTGTGCTTTCGGAATGTTTATGGTATGTTTTGTGGGGTTTTTGGTTTGTTTTAGGGGATTTGTGGTATGGATTGGGAGGTTTCTGGTACGCTGCTTTTTGTGGATTTTTGCAATTCAAAGCTATGGTTTGCAATTCAAAGTTAGGAAACCCCAACCCACCAAAATTTATTGGCAGTTTTCATTGATCCCACAGCCACATGCGCCCTAAAGAGAGAGCCAAAATAGATCGGTTGACTAGCCAAAGTAGATCGGCTGTACACAACACGATTCTCCCACCTAGCGAGAGCATTCTTCAAGGACCAATCCACCCAATCTGAACTTCGTCTTCCTCGGATTCGCCTTGTTCTGCTCCATCGCGTCGGTCGGAGTCACGTAGAACACCATCTGGTCCTGGAAATTGTTCAGGACGATGACGATGAACCCGGCCACGCAGCTGAACGCGAGCGCGTAGGTCCACAGCCGCCTGGTCTGCATTTGGCGAACTCGGGCTCCGATGTCCACGGTCTTCGGCCGCGCCGGGTGGTGCCGCGCCGGGTGGCGCCGCGCCGTCGAGAAGAGCCGGGGACCTTAGATGTTCAGGACGATGACGATGAACCCGGCCACTCAGCTGAACGCGAGCGCGTAGGTCCACATCCGCCTGGTCTGCATCTGGCGAGCTCGGGCTCCGATGTCCACGGTCTTCCGCCGCGCCGGGTGGCGCCGGGCCGTCGAGAAGAGTCGGGGACCTGAGATCGGGGCGGAATCGTTGTAAACTGTACGGAGATCTGAAATCGATGAGAGAATCAACCGCTCCGATCTGGCGGCGGAGGCGATCTGGCGAGTGGAGGAGAAGAAGATGCTTGTGCAGGAGTAAGAGGAGCCGGCAGCGGACGTAATTTCGTGGAGCGGAGGAGCTGCGATCTCAGTCGGAGGAGGACGGAGCGAGAGGCCATCGTGCGACGGCGGCGGCAGAGATTTTGATTTTAGTGCCCGACTCCATCGCCCTTTCTCCTTCTCTTCTATCTCGACCAGCGGAGACCGGATTCACAGCCGGCGATGATGATATATGGCGAGATTTCCGACCGGAGCGACGACTGACGAAGGCTGGAAACGGCGGAGTGATGATGGCGGTCGAGAAGTTAAGAGTGCGACGGCGGAGATGCGCGAGGATGGCGACTCAGCATCGAAGGCGGGTTCGGATGCTCCTTCTTGTCCATAATTATCTTTTTGTTAATTTAATATATTATTATCTAATAATTAATGGTATTTTACCCTTATACCCTTAATGAATCCTGTTGTTAGTATAACAACACTATGGGTGTTGTTATACTATCCGGACCCATACAAACCTAATAGAACTAGGAAACAATTAAGGTAAAAATCTACTCTAAAAAGGACTAAAAATTCGGGTTTAAACTTCCTTTCTTGAAGCACAAGTAAGCTGCCAGCAAACAGTCCAAACGCAGCTTTCGTAATAACTTCACGCCTTTCGTTCGAGGCCTTCCAGAACTTCGTTCTTTCATCCAATTCCTTCCCTTGGTAGATAAACATACCTATTTTCATGTTGTGGAAGCCTCTGGACTCGAATCTACTCCATGCTTCTCGTAGTGAGCTCCAAAGTAGGCTTCACAAACACGTTTCCAGACAACCATTTTCTGGCAGTTTTCCAGTTTTGAGGTAGCAACTTTCAGGCCTTGGAAAACAACCTTAATGACTTCTTCTGGATCCAAAAGTCATACCATTGGAAAGATGGCAACTTTATCTTTAAAACAAGCACCTAACCTTGAATTTCCACCAAACCAATTGAGAGAACCATGCCTCCAAAGTAGGTACCAGGATAGCTTCTTCGTCAAGTAATGAAAACGTGTAGAGTTGGCCATTTGGAATCATATCAGGCTCACCCTCTTCAAAAAGCTTTGCCCTCAAATCTTGATATTTTCTTTTGTCAAAATCATAGCATAATTTATCCCAAATTGGATCGAAATTGGGCTGCTCAATCACATTTTCCAGCAGAAAAATTTCAACTTCAAATTCATCATGACTTCCTTTTCTCGAAAATTTATCCAAAACCAACGCTAGTTGATCATTCTATTCAGTTCCTGGGTGGTTTTGGAATGTTTCTGCAGAAGCGACTTGCTTCGAATCATCATTTATCTCGTCATCCATGTCTGCAGATTGTGGACTCTCTTTTGTCACAGAAAAACAGAGGCATTCTGCGTCGGCCTGCTTCCTTGCTGGTGATATGATCCCAATTGGCTCAATAGTTAGTCCACAATTGCTTGACAAAGAAGCCATTGGCTGTGTTTTTTCGAGTTCAAGCTACCTACTTTGGGAGCTAATATCTTCTACTTAGCTCGATAGAAATTCTGGTTTAAGGTGCCAAGTTATAGAGCGAGTTTCTAAGTTTTCATTGATACATTGTGGAGCTCAAGGGGATGCCTGGAAGGTCACTTTCGAAGCTCATCAAAAGGCTACCTCAACACAGGGGAACTGCCAATATTTGACTAAGGCATGAAACTGTTTTGAGATACCAACTTTGAAAGCTTGTATCTGGAGTTTGGAGTATGATCTCGGGCTGATTCAAGATGTAATGGAAACTAGAAGACTTCATAAACCCAGGGAAGGTATTGGTTGAACTCGAATCAACGTGGAAGACCATTTTCTAGGGCCTCAAAGAAGCTACCTCGAGCTGCCAGTAATCCGAATCCTATTAGGATTCCTAGTTAGTTGCCGATTACTTGTTTAATTAGTTTCCTTGTTCAATTAGGTTAATTTCAGTACTTATTTTAGTTTGTTTGTAATTATCTAAGCCTATTAAAGGCCTCATTCACGTTTTGTAAGAATCAGAGTTGAATTGAGAAGAAAACCCCAAAATCCCCAACTTGTGTGTTGGGAGTTGTTATTGGTTTTGGTCGCGATCAAAACTTGTTGAACTCAGCCTATTGATCGAGCAATCCCACTCAATTACATAGAAGGAAACCTTATAACTATTGTGCAACCTCCCATGTGTGAGACTACCCATTTGTTTTCATCCAATTGACGTGGCAAACTGGCTTCCCAAGCTTGTTTGTGAACTCTGTTTGTGTGTTCTTAACAAGGGAGCTTGATACCTTTGTTTTGGTTGCGCGAATCTGATCAAACACTCACTCAGGGTGTTATCAAGTGGTATCAGAGCCCCGTTCTACACAGGGCAAAGGACGACGAGCTCGACGACGGGTCAGAATTGCTCACTGGACGAGGTCAAAAGGACCTGCTCTAGAACCGCCTCCTGATTTGCTATCGGAGAAGAAGAGGAAAAATAAACATGCGGCCGCGGCTCAATTAGTTGAGCACGGCAACACGGCTACTAGAAGCAACGAGGACACAACGATGGGTGATAAACAGGCCGTTACGATGGCGGCGTTGCAACAATTTTTTCCAGAACAAGTTGTTGCTCTGTTATAGGTACAACTAAATAAACAGGATGAGAAGTTTGCTACGCTCTCAGCCAAGTTCGACGATCTGTCTTGACAGGCTGGAACCTTCAATCGGCAGGACGGAGCGGCGGATACTGGTCCCACAGGAATCAGGACTCGTCGGGAAGCCAACCTCCCACCCCCGGAGAATTTTGTTGACCCACCGGAAAACAGGAACCAGGAAACAGAACAAGCCCTGGACGAACGATTTCATGATCTGGAAAGGCAATTAATGACCTCGAAAATCAACGCCGATGATCGCCGACCACTAAATCGACATCGAGAAGGTTCCCCATGAGTTAATCGAGAAATAGAGGAAGTCTCAGTCTCGAAATTGAGGGGAATCAAACTGTCCATTCCTCCTTTCCAAGGTACGAACAATGCTACTGCTTTTCTGGATTGGGAGAGGAAGATCCTTTTATTTTTCCAGTGTGGTTAGTACACCGAGAACTAGAAGCTGCTCCTCGCCGCATATGAGTTTCAAGCCTATGCAGCAAATTAGTGGGAGCAACTTCAAATTCGGTGGCTGCGCAATCTGCAGGCTCAAGTGTCGACAAGGGAGGAATTAAGGGGTTTGATGAGGGAAAAGTTCATGCCAGCCTATTACTAGCGTGAATTACATGAATCCCTGCAGAAAATCCGTCAAGGTACACGAACTATTAATGACTATTCCAAGGAGCTCAAGCTGCTGCTGACCAGGGCTGACGTGCGTGAGGATTCTGAGGCCACTATCTCACATTTCTTGTGTGGGCTAAACAAGGAGATCAGGCATGAGCTGGAACTACGCCAGTTTGCTGATCTAGAAGAAGCCATTCACTTGGCCTTTAAGATCGAGAAGCAATTCAAGCAAGGGACAACTAGACGCTTCTCTGCACCAAGGCTAAGCAATGCCCCTGAAATTGCTCCGACGGCCGTCCCAACTCTAGTTCGTTCGGTGAATTTGAAGCCAACTACACCACAACACAATTCAGACCAAGCTGGAAGTTTGATTAGCAAACTGGAATGTTACAAGTGCCATGGTCAAGGGCACAAGTCATTCCAATGCCCCAATCCAAAGGCGTTGATCCTGCAAGATGGGGAATACTACTCCAACGAAGAGGAAAGAGAGAAGGAAGCAGCTACGGATAACACAGACGAGGAGGTGGATGAGAACATAGAGATGGAGACCCCAGGTGGACACTTCCTCGTCAACAGAAGGGCACTCACCGTTGAGGCGGTTAGTGAAACACAGCAGCGAGACAACTTGTTCCATACCCGCTGCCGAATTCAAGGTAAGACGGCATCGATGGTAATCGACGGAGGGAGTTGCACAAATGTTGTCAGTCTGGAGACTGTTAGGAAGCTCGGATTGAGCACATTGCGGTACCACGAGCCATATAGCCTCCATTGGCTTAATGATCATGGCGCGGTGAAGGTTACAAAGCAAGCATGGGTGGAGTTTGAAATCGATCAATATAAGGATCGAATTCTTTGTGATGTAGCACCGATGCACGTTGCTCTTATCCTCTTGGGAAGACCATGGCAATACGATCGTGGAGTCACCCACCATGACAGTTCGAACTGCTATACTTTTACACATGGGGAGAAGAAGATTAAACTGGTACCTCTGTCCCCAATTGAGGTTCGAGAGGATCAATAGCTGCTGGAGCTCAATCATGCTCAAGAAAAGGAAGGAAAAGGTACGGGTGACACGCTACGACACAACACCTAACAATGGCCAAGTGTAACCAATGAAAGGGACTGCAGTATAGTGGTTCAAGTAATAAATTGTAACACCCCGAACCTTTTCCCGACAAGATACTGTCCGCTTTGGGCCTCTACACCCGCACGGATTTTGACTTGGGGTGCAATTCAGGGTGACTTTCCATAAGGTCACCCATCCTTGTAGTGCTCCACACTGAGCACGTTTAACTTCGGAGTTCTCACAAGAACTCCTCCATTTCACCCCAAAACGCGTCTTGTCAGTTAAGGCCGGTTTCCTACTTATGAACCATGGATCTCTCCCGTGCTTTGTCGATGTGGGATTTGCCTAAGGTGTTACATAAATATCGAATCCTCGGGCCTCTAGATGTACTATTACTCAGCTTCAGTTCATTATCTAGCAAATCAGATTAAGGATTGATTAACTAAACTACTCTACTAACTAAACTAAGTAAAACTACTAATTACAGTTTGGGAACACACTTAGGTATGATTCCCCCTAGCTCCTCAATTAGGTTCAAGTTTTAATTCCTTTTGGTTTTTTTACTGTTAATTAAACTGCGGAGGATCCTTAATTAGCTTGGAATCTCTACTTGAATGAATTCCAGTACAAAGCAGTGAATTGACTGACTCTCGCACAACCAATTCACTACTATCAATCAAGGAAGTTCTCTTAACCTAATCAGATTCTATCTATCAAAGGTTAAAGCAGAAATCAAGAGAATTTGATCAGGATTCAATTAACTCAATAAATCATGCCTCAATCGATTATAATCACACAATATAGCATCCAAAAC